ATCTTCATCACAAGTACCATCATCATGATCAATGTCGGGATCATGCTCATCATCACCATAGCCATCACCACCATCATCATCCATGGTCACCACCACCACCACCATCAACACCACCAGCACCATCATTCATCATTCGCCACTCACCGTCACGACCACCATCATGATCAATCTCTCGCAACCCTCCATCCACACCCACTCCCTCACTCACTCACTCCTCTCTCTCTCTCTTCCTCCCTCTCTTTGTATCTAGACATAGAAAGAGAGGGAGAGAGAGAGAAGGAACGAGAGAGAGGGAGAGAGAAAGAAAGAGAGAGAGAGAGAGACCCCTGCGCTGCATGGTCCCACTATAGTCATACACACGCATATGTATACACATACATACATACATGCATGCATGCATACATACATGTCTACTAGAACCACGTGCGCTTCGCGCGCGCTTCGGTTCTAGCCCAGCCCACGGCACTGTGCTGACACGAGGGTCGGAGTTTGCGGGCGACTCGCTGTCGGAGAAGGGCTGCGACCGCCTTGGGCGGGTTATGGGATGTCGCAGGGCTTCATTGGACTGTCTTTGGGGCTGTTTAGGCGTTGTTTGGGGAGGCGGGCAGGTGTCTTTGGCCGCAATGGCGCCGTCCAGGATTGCCAGATCGCTGTGAGGACCTTTTCCGTCGCAGCGCGGCAGAGGCGATCCGCCCGCGCGTCCAAGCAACCCCTGGCTACGGCATTGCGAGTCGCCCCGCGTGCAAGAGGAGGGGGGAAGACGAGGGGCGGCCGCTGAGACAGGAGGCGGGAGGAGAGAGCGCACTCACGCGGCGAGGCCGCGGGGGGGCGGCTTCGCGGGCGCGCCCAGGGGAGGAGCCGGTAGCCGCAGTGCAGGGCGGAGCCCAGCAAGTGAGGAGCAGCGGGAGCGGCGGGACGCCAGGGAGGCGGGCCGGGGGCGCGGTGGGGACGAGCGGTGCGGTGGGTGGGCTGGATGGGGCGTGTGGCCCAGCGCCGAAACCCGCTTTTGAACAGTGCCTTGTGTACCTCTGCCTGTAGACGCTTGCGATTAGACATCACCACGTCATGGGGAGTAGCCCTGAGCTTGCCAACGTAATGACTCTAGCCACCCCAAGCAAGTTTGGGCTTGATTTGCATCCCAGTCGAGAGTCTTCCCACTATAGCACGCAGCTGCGCTGGCGACTTGAACCCTCCCCCCCCGCGCCTTTGGCCAAACATCCGAAGTGTCCACGGCGTAGAACTGTCCAACCGTCTTGTGCGAGCGACTCGGCATCGCTCGGACGTCGATTCCCTGTGTTTTTTTAGGTTTCGTGCGTGTTTTTCCGCCACATGATCAAGGATGCTCCTCGATGGTCCTCGCCGAAGGAATAATGCACACGTCCGAGCGATGCCAAGGCGAGGACGTCTGGTCGTACAAGTCCTTGCGAGCTGTTTTCGAACCAGTCTTTGCGGGTCCAGCGTGAATTGCAGCAGTTGCGCCATTTTCTTCTGACCCAGTATTTGCTGCAACCATTGCCAGTTCATTGTTATACACAGAAGAGAGGATGCTGATCGTACTCCATGTTCGCCGCCGATGCGTAGGCACAAAGGCACGATCAGGCAGAGGCGGACAACCCGTAGGCCACCGCGAGGACGGCGAGCCAAACAACGACGGACCTCAAGACCCTCGGTGGTGCCGGAGCAGCACTCCCGGGCCTGACTCTGGCCATCCGGGTGCAGCCGTCACAGCCGATCGCAACCTCGTGCTGCCAGAATCCCACGCCCGGGCCTGCCTCCGCATCGGGCCGCAACGCCGTGCTGCCGCACCTCTGCTCTGGGGCCCGATGGCGCGCCCCAGGAGCCAACGCTCCGGGGGCGCCGCCCTTCGTGCTGCCGGCGCTCCACGCCCGGGGCAAACTCTGATCCTCGCGAGCCAAGCCTTCTAACGCTTGAGGCTCCGGGTGTTGCCAACAACTCCCTTCCCGGGCCTGCTTTCGAACGTCCTGAGCCAACCCTCCAGCGGCTTGTGATTGTCATGCTGCCAGAACTACACCTCCGTGCCCCTGCTGAGAGCGACCAGATCCAGGCCTCCGGCATGTTGTGCTCGTCATGAGCTTCCTGCTGATCTTCTTTCTGTCTTCCTTTCATACTCCTCCTTCAGCTCTTCAGCTCCAGCTCCAGGCCAGCTCGAGCCCCATCTTTGCTCCAGCTCCAGATTCACTCCACCCCAGCTCCAGATCCAGCTCCTGGTCCAACTCCAAGCGAACTCCTTTCCAACTCGAACCCCAGGTCTGGTTTCAGCTCGAACCCCAGGTCTGGTTCCAGCTGCAGCTCAAGCGCCAGCCCAGATGCAGCCACAGACCAGCTGCATCTCCATCATGCCCACCTCGACCTTCGCCGAAGCTCCAGACCCAGCTCCAGCCCAAGTTCAAACTCCAGGTCGCTCCAGACGAGCTCCTGCCAGGGTCGAGCTCCAGCCCCAGGCCACGTTTAGCTCAAGCTCAGCCTCAGCTTCAGCCCAACTTCACGTCCCTCTCTTGGACAGCTCCAGGTACAGCTTAGCTCCACCGCCAGCTCCAGCTCCAGGTCCGACCGAGATCCTGCCCCAGCTCCAGGTCCAGCCCCAAGTCCACGTCCAGCCCAATTCCAGCTCCAGCTCGAGCTTCGGATTCAGCTCCAGCCTTGCGCCGTCTCGAATGTAATGATGTTCAGGTGTTGCCTTCAGGTTTTGCCAGTTGTCAACTTTGCATGGCCTAGATATGTCAGTTCAAACTTTGCAGCTGCGCTTGCCGACATTAGATTGCGAGTAACCCAGACTGCATGCGCCAAACGGAGTGTCCCAGACTGCATGCTCCAACTCGTGACTTGTATAGCAACGTTTTCGAAACGCACATCAGGTATAACACAGCGCATCAGGGTTAGTAATGGGGCTATGTTGTTATTACTCCTCTCTCTCTCTGGCATCGTCTTTCAACTCGCACTCTCTCACTCCCCTCTGCTCGGTCTGATATTTCGTTCCTTCATCTGGCCGCTCTGTTCTCTCGTGGCCCTTCCTGATAACGTGCTGTTCTCTTTCCCCATATCGGCTCTCTATTCTCATCCATCCCCGAAGCGATCTAGCTGTAAGGCAGGCAGACAGAAGCCGTACGCCCAAGGCGCGTCTGCAGGCGCTACATGAAGTATGAACTCGCACACAATGAGGAGAGGAGGGCGCACGAAGGGAGGGAGAGGACGCTCGAAGGGGAAGGAGGGAGGACGCACGACGCACGAAGGGAGGACACACGACGCACGCGTAAGAGGCCGCCGGGTGGCCCGCGCGATCCGACATCCGTGACGCGTGGTCTCTGGTCGTGGCTCGTGGTCTCTGGTCGCGGTGCATGGCGACGTGGTCGTGGCCTCTGGTCGTAGCTCGTGGCCGCTGGTCGGGGCTCGTGAGTTCGGGCCCTGGTTCCGTGGTCGCAGCCCGCGGTCTCCTGCATGGTCTCCGCCCGGGTCTTCCGCAGAATCATCGAGCATGTCCTCCGCAGTGCCTGCACGGTGCTTGCCTGGTTTCGGGGCGGTTGCCCTCGTTCGTGGCGCTGTCCTCGTTGTCGTCGTCCTCGGCCGTGGCCAGCCCGCGACCCGCCCACAGTGCTCTGACGAAACATCGGCGCCTTCGGCCTGCTCGCGGGCTCGCTGCGAGATGCGTAAAAAAATACCCAGTGCGACCCTACCTAGAAGTTGGAGCCCCTAGGAAAGCAGCATTAGTTGCTATGCTATGCTATGCTATGCTGAGCTGCGCCATGCTATGCTATGCTATGCTATGCTGTGCTATGCTATGTGATGTCATGCTGCGTTGTGCTATACTAAGTTATGATATGCTATGTTATGCTAAACTGCGCTATGCTATGATATGCTATGCTATGCTATGCTGCGCTATGCTATGATATGATATGTTATGTTATGATATGCTTGGCTATGGTATGCTATGTGATGCTATGCGATGCTATGCTAATGCAGCGCTGCGCAATGCTAAGTTAAGCTGAACTAAGCTAAACTAAGCTAAGCTAAACCTCTAAGCAAAGCCTAAGTAGGGAATTGCACCCATGCTAATTACCCGAACAGAAAACTAAGCTGGCAACGCGGCTGGCACACACGAGCGCCACAAAATACACCCACTGATCCGGGGCAGGAGGACCAGGAGCTGGATGACGTTGAGGATGACGAGGAGGAACAGGTGGCAGCGGCGGCAGTGGCGGCAGCGGCGGCGTCGCCCACGGATCCGTAAGCAACGCAAGCAACGCGAAGCTAAGGGGACGTAGCTGGGGGAACCGCGGGGCGGATACTGGGGGAACCGCCCGGGGCGCTTTCCACTGCCCGGCCCCTTTAAGCCCAGAGAGTAAGAACCCTTCTGGGCAGAGCCTAGGTAAGGAAAAACGGCGCCGTCGGCGAACTTCTTCGACTTGGCTTTCGAACCTCGCGGGCTGTAGACGACCCCCACCCCCGGCCCCCCCACTCTGACCCGCAACTTCGGGAGCCACAATATAGTATAATCCATGCGACGTGTACCACAGTACAACTGTGTTCATGAAGCGTAATTCCCTACCCTACCATGAAAGGTATACTCTTTCGTATATCGCGGCGCGATGCTGAAGCATTCCTTTAAAAACCCGTCGTAACCAGTGCCGTCGCGAAGCTCCACCTCCATGCCAGAGACAGTGAGAGAGGCGATCGATGGAGGATTGTTCAGGATCCCAACTTGTCCGCCGACTCCATACGATCTTAGGTGCGCGCGTAGATCACTGCGTGGATATCCTTTGGCGCGTGCGAGAAGCCAAGTACGAGCTAAAGTCTTTTACTAAATAACCTGTGCTTCTGGTCACATCTGTTTGAAGAGCCCGACCTGTTGAATGCCTACTGAGACCCTAAGCAGGACGCACTACACAGCACACAGAAATAGTCAAGGGAGCGTCATGCTATACCGCACGTACAGAGGACTAGAATTACGGGAGGCTCCGATCTGTCGATGCGATTTGCTTTTTCACCACAAGCGGTTCTGCCTTGCTGCAGGCAGGTCAAAAGAGGCTAAGCCCTCCCTCGGCCCTAGCATCGGGAGGGCTTGTAGCAGAAAACGGCGTCGGGAAGGGAGGTAGGCGGAAGTGGCAGCAATGAATTTCAACAACTAGAACTACGGGAGGCTCCGATCTGTCTTCGCCGACGTCACTGGGCCCCCCCCAGCCGCAGCCCGTTGGGCACCAACGCCTCGGCCACCACGTGCACGTGCGATCCCATGGGGGCCGCTCGGGGCCGCCGCAGACAGCCCCAGTGGGGCGTCGGCCAAGGCCGGGGCCTCCCTCGGCGGCGGCAGCGGCGTGCTCGGCTCCGCTTCGTCGCCGGCTGGCACTATCGCACCATCCGAGTCGATCCGAGGCCTGCTGTCTCTCTCGTCCTCGGGCTGCTCCGCCGCTCGCACCTCGGAGCTCACTCCTGTCCCAGCGAATCGCCGCTGCGCACCCCCGAGCCCCCGAGGGCACTGTCCTCCCACGCGAAGCCCCCTCCCCCGCCAGTCTACGAAGGTCGTCGGATCCTCGCCCAGCTTCCCGCCCAACATGAGGGCAATCCCCGCTTAGCTCTCACTCGTACCGCTTCGTCGCGAACCCCCAGCACTTACGCCAGCATCTCTGCAGCGCTCCAGGCGGCTCCGAACCTCACCACCTTCAGCCCATGCGGCCAGCCACCCTGGGTCAGGCCGTAGACCCAGACCCAGTCCCTCACGTTTTCCACGTGCTTGTCTGCCAGTCCCGTTGGCCCAGCACTCGGTCCTGGAGTCGAAGCGGACTGGCCGCAGCAGCACCCGCTCGTGCGAGCAGGTGCCCTCAGCCAACCTCGCTGGGAGCCTGACGCCCAGTACCCGGTCCGACCCGCTTGTCATGGCGTTCACTTACCCATCGTGACGAACCAACAACACACACCCATACCCATAGGGGGGTCGGAGAGGGCTATGGGCACGTGTTGTCGGATGGGGGTCCCCACTCGAACGGGAGCGTTCCCCAGGGTCCGACAACCCGCACCCATATCCATAGCGAGTCCTCCTCCCAAAGACCGCCCCTATGGGTATGGGTGTGTGTTGTTCGTTCGTCCCATCGGCCGGAAGAGGAGGAGGAGGAGGAGGAGGAGGAGGAGGAGGAGGAGGAGGAGGAGGAGGAGGAGGAGGAGGAGGAGGAGGAGGGGGGAGGAGGAGGAGGAGGAGGAGGAGGAGGAGGAGGAGGAGGAGGAGGAGGAGGAGGAGGAGGGTCCGTAGCCATTTTGGCTCAAGTCCGTAGCGTTTCGCTCAGGGACTGAGGCCTCTTGGCGTGGGGGAGGCGCGCCCCCGCCTGTGATCCTGCGGCCAGTTTCTGGCTTCAGATTTTGTGAGCTCCTGCTGGAGCAAGTTTCTACAATTACTTTCTCCGTGCGTAGACCACCCCCCGCACTCCGATGGGTTCTTCTCGTCGCGGCCAGCCTAGTATGCGTGACGATAAGGGCGATGCTCGGCAGTGGACGTGGGTGGGTCCAGTCAAGAAGCAGGACGAGGACAGCAGTGGTTCCTCGAAGTCTCCGTGTCCCCACTGTGGCTGCAAGAAGAACCTTCCCCGCTTCTGGTTCTGCAAGCACTGCCTCCAGCCCCTGTCCTACGTGCAGCCTACCGCCCAGGCGCCAGCCCAGGGCGTGTGGGCGGAGCTTCCGCCACTGGGCTCCCTGCCAGCTCACGGCGAGTCGGCCAAGGGACCGAAAGGAGGTGGCAAGGGCAAGGGCAAGAAGGGGGAGACCAAGGGGGGCAAGGGCTACCTGCTCACTTTCCCTGGCCCGAAGCAGGTGGGTCCGCAGGCCTATTTCGGCCCACCGCCGCCCCTGCAACAGGTGCTCCCTGCGGGGCTCCAGCTTCAGGCATCAGGTTGGATCCCGCCTAGCGCCATGGCTGGCGCGAATGCTGACAAGGACTCGAAGTACAAGGTTGAGGACATACCCAAGCTGCAGGGCCTACTCCGCACTTTCGAGAGCCTGGGCGACGGCCAGAGTGTCAAGTACTACCAGGGCCTCATCGACAGGCTGCAGCGTGCTGCTGAGCCCAAGCAGCCTTCGGTGGGAGCGGCCCAGCACGCGATGCGGGAGGCCAAGCAGCAGCTGGACAAGCGCGTCAAGACAGCGGACTCATTGCGCGTCCAGTACGTGCAGGCCCAGAAGCAGGCGGTGTTGGCCCTTCAGGACTATGAGCTGTGCCAGGCCAAGTACCACGAAGCGGTCACCTTGCTCGCGGCAGGAGTCCCACAAGTTCGTCCAGAACCACAGGGGCAGGTCCGCCATGGGCTGCATCTGTCTAAGCTCTTGGACGGCGAGGGTTTCGAGGTGCTCGAGGATGACGGTTTGTTCGGTCTCGAGGCTGAGGGGATCGAGATATCAGCTTCGGAGCGTGAGGAGGTCGAGAAGCGTAAGGCCGAGGTGGAGCAGGTCATCAAGAAAGCAGTCGCCGACGCCTTCGGAGCGGTCCGCACGAGGGCGCAGGAGCTGGTGGAGGAGCAGCGGGCTTTCCGCCAGAGAATGGCTGCCAAGCGCCGTCGCACTGGCGAGGAGGCTGAGGGCGACGGGGCGGCGGAGGGCCCCGCTCCGCCCCAGGCCGCTGCCCCAGCTGCGGCCCCCCAGCCTGGCGAGGCCTCCCCAGCTGCGGCAGGCCTGCCACCGCGGCCACCGCAGCCACCTTCCCAGGAGGCGCTGGCTTCAGCTTCGGCATCGGCGGCTTCGGGGGCTTTCGCGGCGCCCGTGGACGTTGAGCAGTTCGACTTGGAGCGGCAGTTTGCCAAGGCGTCCAGTGTCGTGGCGGGGGTGGCCAGTGTTGGTGATCCTGGGCCAGGCCTTTGACGTGTGGGCTCCAGCATCTACGATTGCCACCTGGGCTTCGTGGATGGCTACTCGCTCTTGGTCGCTAGACTCACCTGCCATGAGACCTCTGAGACCCCCCGCAGACGAAACCCTTGGTAGGCCAGTGTCATCGTGGTGCTGGGACCGCCAAGTGGGACCCTGGGGGTGGGAATCGGAGCGAGGATGGCAGGAAGAGAGCGCCACATGTTCGGGGCACGGCTTGCCTCCCGAAGCGATTGCCACGTGTTTTCCCACACTTGGTTGGGGGCAGCCCGAAATTGCCTCATTCTGGCCAAGCAGTCCGTGGACGTTCTCAGCTTCCTCGGCTATGCCTTGGGAGTACCAGTACCCCCCTCCCCGCGTTTTGTTCCATGCAGTGATGAAAAACGGCTCGTCAGGTTCAGGAAGCGAATCATCCCGCCATTGTGTGCAGTCGCCGTCGGCGGGAGCGGCGCGTATCTCGTACAGTCTTCCTGGTGTTCAACCCCGTCATCGTGTTCAGTCGCCGTCGGCGGGGGCGGCGCAACCTTCGACTATGGCCACGACCAGAGCTACGTCAACTCGCTCGACTGGGGGTACGAGCTCGGTGTTAGGACGCAAATCCTGGGACCCGTTGGGGCTCCCAGGTTCACAGTCGCCACCTACCTATGCCCCAGCCAGGGCACCCTCTCCACAGGAGGCGAGGGAAACAGCGCGTGCAGGGGACGTGGTAGGGTTTTGCAGGACGCAGCAGGCCTCAGACGCGCAGCATCGACCGCTGAGTCTCCGTCCTGGTGATGGGGGCAACCTCGGCTCTGCTGACGCCAGTCAAGGTCTGTCTGCTGATTGTAGTGCTGGGATTCCGAGGAAAGGAGGCCGCCGTTGCATGACTATTGAAACCTGTAACGCATCCTCTTGGAAATCTCTGAAGACTTATTTGCAGTCTGAGTCCTTCGGCCAGGTTGTCGTTTTCCAGGATTTCGCTTTTGGAGATGATCATCGGGAGGGCACCCACCAGCTACGCCAGTTGGGTTGGAATGCTCTCGTGCACCCAAGCAGAATCACAGACAAGGGTGGGCTCAGTGGTGGGACGGGGATTGCGGTCAGGAGTCACATCGGGATGGGGTCCTTACCGCTGGTCCGCCCCTTTCCTCAGCCACACCGAATATGCGGAGTTTGGTTGGACATGTTTGTGCCAGGAGGTATCGCGGTGTTTTCGCTCTATCTAGATTGCGATGATCCCTTAGGCCTCAACAGTTTCCAGATCCTCAACAGGCTTGGCGAGGAGCTCCATGGTTGGCAGCTACCCTTCGTGATAGGAGGGGATTTCAACGCATCGCCGAAGCTGCTTGCGGACACGGGTTGGGTTGACAAGATTGGGGGCACAATCTTCCACACTTCCGAGCCGACATGTCGAAAATCGTCGACTTCATGGACCACCATCGACTTTTTCGTCATCTCGAAGTCGCTCGGGCCGTTGTTCGACGCTGTTTCGGTTAACAAACGTGGTACTACTGCCCCGCATTGGCCCGTCACGCTGGACCTCTCAGGTGCCCCCAGAGAGCTCAAGACCAGGGTCCTTGTAGGTCCTAAGGTGTTCCCTCGAGAAGCCCCGCTCGGTCCGCGGCCTCCACCTCCAGATTGGTCTGCATGTTTAGCTCAGCTCGAGGCGCGCGGCGACCAGGCAGCCCTGGACAGGGGCTACGCTAGGTTTTGCAAGCTTTTCGAGGATGAGATGATAGGCATCCACGGCATTGGCAAGAGCGATGCGCACAAGTATCGCGGCCGGGCCAAAGGAATGAAGACTAAAATCCATCCAGCTGTACCAGTCTCGGGCGGTGCTTACCCTGTTTCTTCGGCCAAAGGGAGAGCTTGGAGGAAGTGGTCCATCCACATTCAGGAGCTTAGCTATCTCGTCAGGAAAGAAGTGCCTTTGGACCGACCAGATGCCAGATCACTTTTTCCCCAAGTGCTACAAGGGCCTGCAGCGCTCCGTGCCGACCCTTTTTGGCAAGAGTGCGCGGTCTCTGAGACCGACCTGTGTTGCCTCGACTTCTGTGGCCTCGTGCAGTTGTGCGCCAAGGCCAAGCGTAATGCAGAGCGGCTTGAAAAGCAGTTTCAATCGGATCGGGGCAAGGCCTGGAGATCTTGGGTCCAGACAAGTCTGGACAATGGGGCTGGATTGGCCCACAAGTTCACCAAGGTCCCCTTGGGATGGGCTCCTTCGAACCCGAAGGGGGGGCTCCCCAAGGGGCCCATGGGGCGCATCGACGACCTCATGGACGAATGGGCTAAGATATGGGGCCCCATGCCCAGCATGCAGGACCTCCCTGACCCCATCAGCCCCCTCACAGAGAAGATCTCCGAGTCCTCCGAGGAGCCCATGGTCTTGGCCACGCCCGATCAGATCCGAAAGTGCTCCAGGAAGTTCAAGGTTAGGACGGCGATAGGCGCTGATAGGACACACCCCAGGGATTTCGAGATCCTCAGCGACGGGGCTCTGGAGTGCGTGGCTGCCCCCTGGTTTTGGATGGAGTCTCTTGGCAAGCTTCCCGAGGTCCTGGCCACGATTATCATTGCCATGATCCCCAAGGACGAGGAAGGTGGAGTTCGGCCCATCGGAATCTTGTCAGGTAGTGTCAGGTGCTTTGGAAAATATTCTCGGGCACAGGCTGATCGTTGGGAGCGGGCCCATGGCAGGCCTTGCCATTTCGGAAGCAGGGGGCGATCGTGCGAAAGAGCTGTTTGGGAGCAGGCTATTAGGATGGAGCACGCGTACGTTTTTGGGCACTCAGCTGCGTCTGTTTTGGTCGATATGACCAAGTGCTATGAGAAGGTTGTTCATTTCTTCTTGGCCTCGGCGGCCATCAATCACGGTTTCCCTCTGCATCGCCTGCGCTACCTCCTCTGCTTGTACAGGGGCCAGAGGGTCTTGCAGGTGGGCAGGGTCTGCTCTGAGTTTGTCGCCTGCATCCAGGCGATCTTGGCAGGCTGCACGTTCGCCACCACCCTGCTAAAGTGCCTCCTTCTCGACCCGCTAGACCATGTGGTTTCGAAGTTCCCTTCGGTTCGGATTTACAATGTTGTTG